TATATATATATATATATATATATATATATATATATATATATATATATATAGTTGCTACAATTTATATATATAACAGACTTGTAAATGTTTATATTAGGTTACGAGATTGGTAAAAGAAGGAACCGGGAAAACGACTTTAGCAATTGGAGATGGTGCAAACGACGTCGGAATGATTCAAGAAGCAGACATCGGAGTCGGAATCAGTGGTGTTGAAGGAATGCAGGTTTGTAATACGTGTTAAAACTCAAAACGCTCTTTTTGACATAAATTTTTTCTTATTAAACTTTTTTTTTTTTTTTTTTTTTTTTTTTGTAGGCCGTGATGGCTAGTGATTTTGCTATTGCTCAATTTCGGTTTCTTGAAAGGCTTCTTGTTGTACATGGTCATTGGTGCTATAAAAGAATTGCTCAAATGGTACGAATTAATTAATCTCTCCTAATGTGGGCCAGGGGTTGAGGAAATATTAATTGATTGATTTTAAATTTATTATAATGCAGATTTGCTATTTTTTCTACAAGAATATTGCTTTTGGGCTAACGCTATTCTACTTCGAGGCATTTACCGGGTTTTCGGGACAATCGGTTTATGATGATTGGTATATGTTATTATTCAATGTTGTTCTTACATCATTGCCAGTGATTTCACTCGGGGTTTTTGAACAAGATGTTTCTTCTGAGATCTGCTTACAGGTTTAGATTTCTCTTAAATTTTATTATATATGTTATGTTGCAATTTTTCATTCCATGATGGAATGAGAAGTAACAATTAACAAAATCCCACACAAGTGCAGTTTCCAGCGTTATATCAACAAGGCCCAAGAAACCTCTTCTTTGACTGGTACAGAATCTTCGGGTGGATGGGCAACGGTCTCTACTGCTCCCTCATCGTATTCTTCCTCAACATCATAATCTTCTATGACCAAGCTTTCCGGGCAGACGGGCAGACCGCTGACATGGCAGTCATGGGGACCGTAATGTTCACATGTGTCATCTACTCCGTAAATTCCCAAATCGCCCTCACAATGAGCCACTTCACATGGATCCAACACTTCTTAATCCTTTTCAGCATCATTACATGGTACATCTTCCTCATACTATACGGCATGTTGTCTCCGGATCTTTCTGGAAATGTGTACAAGATCTTTCTAGAAGCTCTCGCACCCTCTCCCATTTATTGGCTTAGTATTTTGTTAGTAGCGGTTGCGTGTAATTTACCTTATTTGGCTCATATTTCGTTTCAAAGATCTTATAATCCGATGGATCATCATGTAATTCAAGAAATCAAGTATTATAAAAAAGACGTTGAAGATCGACATATGTGGCGAAGGGAGAAATCGAAAGCGAGGCAAGAAACAAAGATTGGGTTTTCAGCGAGAGTTGATGCCAAGATTAGACATCTGAGACAAAAGTTGCACAAGAAATCATCCACGTCGACTCCTCGTGTGTCTTTGTGAAATGTATATTTCAGGGGTATGGTTTACTGTGTTTTTAGATGTATACCACCGGCGCTTTTTGTTTGGTTTCTTGGTTGTGTAATTATATAAGGAAAATTATAGTAAGTATATTTTGTGTAGGTTGTTGTATGTACAATACTAACAAGGGTTCATGTGCACCCGATATAGATAGTGTGATATCAATCGACATGTCTTTCTGTGACCTATCGGTATAAGTATCTAGAGTTTTGGTAAGATTAAGATTTAAGAATAGATTTAAGGAATGTTTGATTTATGCAATGGGTTTGTATTTCATTTTCACAAATGAAGTATAAACTCAATAACGAAATGCGAAGTCAACTAGTATACAATCATAAATTAAAGAATGTTGTTACTTCTTATAATCAATTCCTTACGGAGTCCATGGGTTGTCTGGTTTTCACTATTATATGTTATAGTTTTATATTATTTTGAAAATTACATAAAAAAAATACTTTTGTCTCTTGTTTATTGACAAAACATTGATGAATCATTCGAATAGCTCATGTACTAAGATAAACTGGATCTTGTACTTCATTTTGTTTGGCGAGGATGCATATGATTTATAAAATCGGTTAAGTATATAAATATAGTTTAAATAAAATAAATGAACCTTATGGACATGCTTAGTTTATTTGCAATCATAAAAAAATTAAAAATGTTTTATGTTTGAGTTCCAAAACAAGTTGAAGCGGATATTTAAGTCATATGTTTTACTTAGGTTATCCGGTATGGTACTCCAAACCACGCGTGTCATCCTACATCGCTAGCCAGAAGACACGTGAACATCGTCCTAGGCACCGGTGGTGGGTTGGTTGTGGAGTAGTCATGGAGACGGACAAAGGCATCCAATGAGAATGGAGAAGGTGGCAACGGCCACATATTTGACCGTTCTTTTCATTTTGTATCTGTTATCAATAAAAAAAATTATTTAATTTTCAAATTTAAAAACATAACCCACAACTATAATTATCATCTATTTTCTATACATTTTCACATTACAAAAAAACACGACTTTTTATTTTCTTATATTTTTTCTTCAACGCATGAATCCAAATCAAAATACATCATCCACTCCAAACATCTAAAACACTTCAAATGATCCATATGTAAATCTTAGTTACATAGCATCCTCAATCTTACAATATATTTATTCACTAATCTATCATATCACCCAAACTACTACCAACAACAACGACCATAACAATTCAATTAACCTTAATTTCAAGTCTTTCAACAACCTTCTCAACAAATTTCAACCTCAATCTTCTCGACCTCAACAATTTCTGGCAATACCATCTCAAGTCTCATCATCTCAATCACAACCTATAGACCTCGACAATGATGAGAAGAAACACAACAACTATCTCGAAGAAGTCAACAAAAAGGAAAAGCTCCAAAGAAAACTACGCAATTGAGCGAAGACGAGGATGAAACTTTAACAAAACCTTGGATTTTCATATAGCAAGACGGACAAGTCGTCAACGCGCAATCGAGTCGAAGTTTTTGGAATTGTATTTCAAACCACTTTCATGTGCTATTAGGAAAGGACACAGAACGGGCGTACCGCACAGTTAATGCAAAATGACATGATTTACGAGCGATTTTTACCAAATTTAATGACATATTTGATAATCTTAAAAATATGCAAAAAGTAGCAGCAACAATTTCAATATTTTATCAACCACATGTTATCAATAGATAATTACCAATAATGGTAAACGATTCGGCAACCAAAAAACGTAGAAAGTTTGTCTTAAGGGTCCAAAATGGATCCTTTTCCAGAGACGGCCCATTCGGATTCGATTACCGACTCCAACAAAAGGCCAAAAAATTCCAAGTAGGACGTGGGTTTTGGCATCGACTTCAATGATGACTTTGATAGCACCGAGGGGGAGGGTCCATCGGAAATCCAATTTCGTCGACCACCGGGAAGAGACAAGGCGAAAAAGGCGGCGTCTTCAAGCAGAAAAGTGAGTAACGAATGCATACTTGAGGAAAAGTTAGACAAAACTCTAATTTTTTTAGAAAAAAAAAATGAATCAATGGAGGAATCTCGTCGCTGAAAAATAACACTTACCGATCTTCAAATCATAAACACAAAACTCCAACCGGATCTTGACCCGAAAAATCTTGCTATGTTTCTAAAAATCTAACAAGTCCGCGAAAAATATGGAAATTAGGATCTAATGTCTTAATATTTATGTTTTATTTGGTATGTTTTATCTTTTCTTTAGTAATTTAGGTTTTAATTTTTTTATGTTTTTTAAAGTAATTTAGGATTTAAATTTGTGTGTTTTTAATTAATGTAATGTCTTTTTAATGTGTCAAATACTTATTTATGTTTTTTATTTAATCTAATGTAAAAAAAAAAAAAAGATAAATATTATGAAGTGGTAACCATTTCCAAAGCCAGTGATTTAATACTGAAAATGTAAAAGAACTGATATATGACGTGATATGTGACGCTTAGTTGACAGCACTTTTCTAGTGGATCGTTGGTGACCATACCCCTTAGCCTTACTATACATTGTAATTAAAGCAGTTTGTCTTGTTAATCGGTAATTCAAATAAAAATTTCCCTTTCATAAAATTGACATAACTTGTTAACAGAAAATGGCATTGGCAAGACGGAAAATATATTTACTAAAGAAAAAGTATAATTTTAAAACAAAAAAATAATTTCCCCCCTAAATGGTCAATAAAATGAATCCAATAGCAAAAAGTACACAAATCAGGTGATTCTAAGCCTACAACATATCTTGGATGACTTTTTTTAATAATGTGGTTCATTTTAATCAAATTAGATAGTTTTGACCATGTCATTGGATGATTAGATCGGATGACTAGTGCATAAGTCATCTGATATCATTATGATATCAGATGAGATGTGCAGTCTAGCAATCGTTGATTGCCCGACTGGTGCACTAGTAATCGGATGACTGACCTGTGCATTAGTCATCCGATCTGGTGTTGGCATTTAATCAAACAGTTGAGTGGCAAATAAAATCATTCATCAGAAGCAACAAACCTATGAAGCAATGCATCCGTATTTTCAATATGATCTCAACTGAAACAGAAACTAGGAAGTACTTCAAAAATAATTCAGCACTCAACCAAATACTTTAAAAGATAAAGATTATGAGATTTAACAAAAAAAAAAAAAAAAAAAAAAAAAAAAGACTAACACCCACGAAAACTTACATCAACATCATTCAAAAGAAAAACCAGTGATATAATTTACCAAGACTCAATTCCATGATATCGATTGACATGGACAACCAAAGCAAAAATCATATAAAAGAAGATTTTCTGTTAATGAATCAACACAGGTCATCAAGTTCTAAAAACATACCCAATTACCATAAAAACATGATCTGAAATCACAATGTATATCAAAATGCAAACAAGTTTTGAGGATACCAAGTACCTTTCAACTCCTGTGAAAAATCAAGAAAACTGATTAAGAAAAAGAAGTTCACCAGGCAAAACAGGAATTGATGATTCCATTCCAGAGATCCCCACAACACTACAAGAGAACAAGCCCAAGTTCTGAAGGTCTCAGTGGTTGATTTAACCGATAATTGTACAGATAATAGTGCAATTGCCCATCACCAGGTCCAAACTTCAGCTCCTTCAAAATACCTTCATTTTCCATAACATCTAAAGCATTAAAAACATCATAACCCTTCTTCTTAGCCACAATAAGAGCATCATTCATCAACTGAAGCATTGGAGTTTTAGTAGACACATTGTAGTATGAATACGCAGCTTTCAAAGTCGAGTAATTCTGGTTTCCAAGAATCGTTGAAGGAAGTGTATAAAAACTACAGAAATCAGTCACATCACGTGTCTCACTGCTTTCCACCAAAAAACTATCCACTACATCCTCTTTAGGAAGCAACCAATGTTCCACATCATTTTCATCAAAGTCAGGAGCAACTATGAATTGCTTCAAATACTCCCTAAGCAAACGGGTAACTGCAGGGAACATCATGGAGCTCCATTTTTCTAAACCCGGGTGTGATTGGTGAATCTGGTAACTTGTAAAGCTTAATGGTTCTACTCATGGTCATTCTAGCACCAAGTCTTGAAAACCCAACATCAATTAGCTTTTTAGGGTTCAAAGATCTGTGCCAGTATTGACAAGTGGAGATAGGTGTAGGTAAAATCACACCTGCAGTATAAGCAGCTTGCCATATGTTTTCCATGTGAACTCTTCTTGTGACTTCTTTAATCATCACTGGGGCGAGTCTTTTTGATCTAAGTTTCTTATGAACACAGAGGAAATTGATTTCTGCCATGTTAACAACACTGTCTTTAGCTCTGATTCTAGCAGGGACTCCAGTTATGAAAGCTACTAACTTTTTTGAAGACTTGACTCGAACCCCTATATGCCAACTTCTGTAATACCCTGGAGGACGAAGTGCCCATTGAAGGAAATCTTTTGAGTAGTTAAACCTGAACATGTTTTCATCATCTTCAACGTAGTTGTTAGCAAGGAGATTGTAAACTTCTGCACACATCTCTTTTGTATCCATGTCACAAGTGATCCATTCGTATGGACCTGGGAGATTATAGGGTTCTTGTTTAACTTCTGATAATGGTGTTGGAGGCTCAATTGCGCCTTCTGGTAGGGTTGAGTTTCCAACGTCTTTGAACTGTCCGACTGGTTGAGTTTCCCAAAACTTATGCCGCTTGGAAAGAGTCAGAGACTCCTGAACCTTTTGTGCTATTGCATCGATGGATGCATCGTTCTGGTTTGTTGTAGGGTTTATAGATTCATTAGAGTTGTGGTTTTGGTTTTCAGCAGATGCATTGGAATTCCCATTGTTATCCGCCATCTCAATTCTCACTAAACCACCAAATAACTGTAAATTTAACTCAAAATTAGGTCATTCAAGAACAGTAAGAGGATACCTTATAAAGATAATCGCGAATCCATTTCGCAGAATCTTTAGTATGTTAATAGAAGTAGAAAACAATCTTCGATTGAAAAAGGAAAACATAAACTACCATACAGAAACATAATCACGTAATTTAACAGCAATCGAGTAAAGAATATTTGTAAATCGAAACTAGCAACACGAATATTGAAATCTACGCAAACTCGGCCGGTAATTCATAGATGGATATGAGGCGAAGATTTACCTCCGATCTTGATTCGTAGATGGTGAAGAAGGATCGCCGGAGCAGCGAGTGAGAAAGATCTAGGTTGTTGGGATCATGTTACGATTGATATAGGGAAAATAGGGAAAGATATATCAGCATCGGACTACACAAAGCTATTGTTGAAGCCTTGAAGGGAAGAAAGAGTGAAAGTAGCAAAACCGTCTGCCTGGAAATAGTCTAAACTTTATAAAAAGTCACAACTAGTTAAAATTTGCATTTTTCTTATATGGTTTTCCTCAAGGTTACAAATTACTATGTTGAGTTTTTTGTCGTTTTTTTTTCATTCTTGTTTTGTTACACCTTTCTTCTTGTTTTGTTACACCTTAAGAACACACTGCCATGTCAACCTCACCCACAAATCCCTTGCATCCCATCTCTAAAGTTGATAGCCACCCTCCTCCACCTCTCTCCATCATCTCCTCTTCGCGCTTACAACCGTCTTTCTTCACCCTAACACCACCTTATGTGTTATCTTGTCTCAATTCAACCACCATACACAAGAGACATCCCTTAACACCACCTTATGTCGTTGGCACCACTCATACCCTCTCTCAGTGTTATATTGTCTCAATTCAACCACCATACACAACCATTTCATTTGTAGATTCAAGCTTCTATCTAGCCTAATAAATATATTTGTAGATTTGGTTGTCGATATTCCTTTGCGTGAGTGATTTAGATTTTGATTTTGTGCTAAAAATCGAGGAAATGATTTATCCATTAGAAATCATAGTCTTACATTCTCCATGAATTTTTAGACTCCATAAATTCATGAGGTTCTTACCTCTACTTATCATGCCTTATTCAAATATTAACTTACATTTTATTCGAATAGCGATCAAAACGGTTTAATTTTCCAATGTTGAGGATTTAAAGGGAGGAAATAACACACATTTATATTTTTTCCATTTTAATCCCGATCAGAATCCCCAAAGACCCTGTTGAGATGTTGGGTCTAAATGAAAAGTTTGAGGAGTTACTATTTGAGCTCCGTATTGTGGAATGCAACGGAAAAGTTTTTTTTTTTTTTTTTTTTTTTTTTTTTTTTTTTTTTTTTGTGTGTGGATGCCAAAGTTTTTGGGTACAGAAGGTTTTAGGAAATAGAAGAAATGTTGAAGGTAGAAAGGTTTGGAACTTAACATGCAAAATATTTTCTTAGCAAAGATAAGTTTATTCAAAATGTTTGTAGTTATATTTACTCTTATCTTGGAGAACACGTTGACATTGTAAGTCGAATCTTCTGTCAGAAGGGTCTATTGGGTTGGATATGAATCCTACGTCATTTAGGTCAACTCCCTTATTAACATCTCATTTATTGTTACCCTGAGAGAGAGAGAGAGAGAGAGAGAGAGAGAGAGAGAGAGAGAGAGAGAGAGAGAGAGAGAGAGAGAGAAGAGAGGAAGAGTGTATGTAAGAATTATTATTAGTGTAGTGAAGACGCCACCATTGTATTAACATTCAAATCAATAAAAGAATCTCTCTAGCTTGCATGTATATGTAGCTTGATTAGCAAGTAACCATGTAAATCCTTGTGTATTGTTTCTTGTGTTGCTCTTTGCATTTTATTGTCATGTTCCACTGTTCAGGAGCATCTTAGTCCTCATAATTGGTATAAGAGTTATGGCTGAAGAAGGAAAGCTATGATTTTGGTTTCGGGAGAATGTAAATCGAATATTACCTATACTAGAAAAAGTTACACCTCCTATTAATTAGTAGAAATTAGAGGCTATGAAGCGAGAAGATTGGGATAATTTAGATCGACAAGCCCTATGTGTCATTAGGTTTTCATTGGAAAAGAATGTTGCTTACAACATTATCAATAAGAAGACAACTTTCAGAATGATCATGACTTCTAACATGTACGATACCACATCAACGAGTTCAATTCAATAATGACATACCACATCAACGAGTTTAATTCAATAATATCAATATTGATATTTGTTGACATTAGTTTTGATGATGAAGTCCATGCACTGTTGTTGTTATCTTCATTACCGTATAGTTGGTATGGAACTGTCACGACTATTAGTAGTTCATCCGAAACTACAATGTTCACATTCTATGGCATTCAAGATTTAATTTTTACTGAAGAGAAGGGGGGAAAACCGAACATAAGAGGTAACGTTAGAGGAAGTCACGGAAGAAATGGAAATCAAAAAGATGAAAGTATATTGTCTGCTAGAATTACAAAGAAAATGGTCACTTCAAGAATCAGTGTCTAAAACTTTTTGCAGACAAAGGCAAAAAAGGAAGTAAATTTGGCAGCATATATTCTATAGAATTTCTCATAAAGTCTTGTTTCTATGGTATATATTATAACTTAACGTTAATGAAGACATAAATGGTGGAATCAACTTTAACTTCTTAATTATGAACCTTAATTCTTATTGTTGCAAAATATAAAAATTAGGAAGAAAACATTTAAACAAAAAAAAAAAAAAAAGCAAAATCATAGTGACCATGTAAAATTCAATGCATCATATCATAATGGGAATATCATGTAACATCCCGATGATGATGTGTTTCCAATTTTAACCCTAAGTATGAAGATTAATTTCATTTTTGACCTTATGTATGAGAAATGTTGCAATTTGTCCCGTAATTGCATTTTTGTAGTTTTAGTGACGAGCTCACGTACGCTGGGCGTATGTAGTGTACGTTGCGCGTACGTGCCAGATCTACAAACCCCAAAAATTAGGGTTTGGACCCCATATAAACACCATTAAATCCCCAATGCTTACTCCCTCACCAACCTCCAACCTTCATTTCGTCCATTGCAACCCTAATATCTTGTGTGTGTCCCTTTAAGCTTAAAAGGGTGTTTTTATGGTTCCTTTGAAGCAAGGAGAAGATAGAAGCACCAACTTGGAAGAGCAAGACCTCATAGATCCAGGAATACCTTACCTCCAATCTTCATTTTGAGGTATAAAGTTATGAAAATGTTGATCCTATCAATAGATCTTTTTATGTTAAATTTTATGCTTATTAGCCTCATATTATTTGTTCTTTGGGTATAAGCTACCCTAGACCCAGTGAGTTGTCCTTTTGGACGTTTTAGGGTAGTTTGAGTGATAAAAATATGATATTGGCTCTTAGTTCTTCCCTATGCATGAGTTTGGTTGTCTTAATGGCTTAAGATGTTGGGGTTTTTAGTGTTAAGCACTTAATGGTCATACAAGACCATAAAGTTGGAAATTTTATGATCAAGGACAACATTTGGGACTTGGATCTGTAATTTGGAGGCAAGGGGTTAAGTATTAAGCCCTTAATGAGTTGGGAAAGCATCCAACTGCGTACATTGGGCTACCAGATGGTACATCGCCCATACACGATTAAGCCCTGTTTTCTGGTTAGCAATTAAGTATGCCCCACGTACGTGGCTTGGTCAACTCGGTTGGGTTAACTTGACCAGTTTGTTGAGTTTGACCAATTTGACCAAAGAGTATTTTGGCAAATTTGGTACTAATTTAAGTTGGGGAATATTTTTAGATAATAGGTATCGGGTAAAGCCGGTATTTGGAGCCGAGATTTATTTCAGATTTTATTCAGACTGAGAGGTGAGTTCTCTCACTATGCCAATTGGTCTAAGGAACCAAGGTCGGCCCACTTATTAAATTCATATATATCCTAGGATGTAGGATTTCTATGATATTTCTATATATGCTTTGTTTATGTATATGTCGACATATCGACGGTTGGGTTGAGGCCCCGTGCCAACAAACCCGATATGGTTAGTGTCACACCCCCGAACCAGACGGCGGAAACGTCCGAGGGCTGTTGTGACTCAATTGAATACCATCACAGTGAATATACATGAAACATAACATCATTCATCACCATGAATTGAAATAGTACAACTGGTAGTGTTTACATTTAGTACATTGTTTCATAACATTACATTCCCAAAAAGTAAATTGTTCGATACTGGATAAACAAACAACAAGACATCACTGAGTACATTTTTCCCTTCGATTTACCTGTTACCTGAGAATACAAGTATTTTGAAAAACATCAACATATGAAATGTTGGTGAGTTCATAAGTAATGTTTGAAATATAATGTTTTGTATTGTTTTGAAAACCACCAGAAAATCCGATATTTTCTTAAAAGAGTATCATAAATAAAAAAAGTGTGAAGATCCGTAAGTATGCTTGTTTGTTTAAAAAAAAACATTGTTAGACTTGGTATGCATCTTGTCGGTGTATGACCTGAAAAAAAAACCCTAGGAAAACCTTTACGTTTTCCTAATACTTTGAATTATGCGTTTTCTATTTTGTTATACTGTTGTGACGTGTGTATTCGATAATTCCAGGTGACGTTGGATTAATTATGGGTTGTGAATTGTTGTAAACACACATTAATGAAAACGACTAGTTTACAACTATACAAACGATCCCTTAGGCGTCGTCCGTACTATTCACTTAATCCAATCACCCTAACTTCTCATAGCCCCACAACCGAGGAGAAAAAAAGAGCACGAAGCCCTCGATAATTCCATAAGTCGTTCAAGGCTATCGTGAATGCGAAGGGCCCTTGGCCCGGCCCGCATTGGTGAATTCTTGACTTTACTGGCAGTACCAAAGGACCCTTAGGGCCCAACAGCACAAAAGCCATTGAAAGTCCTTTTACACGGAATTAGGTCATAAAAGACCCAACAACATGTAAGCGAGTTTCCTTCGGGCCTAAAGATCATGTCATTGGGCTAGCTAGGCCCAACAAGCACGATTTGAAACTTTCGGGCCCAAAGATGGTGTATCGACGTCTGGTGAATTCCCACGTGTGTATTGACTTCCCGTAATTTCAGCGTGTGTATTGTAGTATCGTCGTGTATAGATTTCTGATTCGTTATTGATTCGAGACCGAATCAATTCGTTTGGTAACGATTTTTGGTGTTGAAGGTGTATTATGTTTCGTCGGTAGTCGTGGTACTAGTATTTTAGCATAACGGATTTATTGTTTAACACATTAGAATTTTACTTTTTACAGCCCCTTTCTTATGGATAATTTACACTTTTGACCCTTTGTATAAAAGAATTTCCATTTTAGTCCTTAGACCATTTTTCTTGACACTTTAGTATCAAAACTTGTTGAAAAGGTATTTTTCAGCTCAAATTTGTTTGGAAAACAGTTTTAGTCCCTAAAAATGAAGTTTTCTCGGCTGAAACCTCTATTTTCGCAATTTTTATACTTTTGACCCAAAATGGAAAATATTTGCAATTTTGGTCCTTTTTAAATTTGAAAAGTAATTTTAACCTTTGAAATGGACTTGGTACACTAGTAGTCCCCTGTTTTACAGAAAAGTGCAGTTTCAGCCCCTCTAAATTAAAAATCTCGCAATTTGGGCTTTATTGGGCCGAAAAGTTCATTTTTGGCCCATTAGGTTTAAAAATTCACATTTTAATCCTTCAAAAGA